AACCCCTTAAAGCCTAAACCCTTTGTTCACGAGCACCCGCCAAAATTTGCTTAGCTAAGCAAGCATTGTGGAGGACAGAGGTTTTGATGAATCTCAGCAAGCCTGGCAAAACGATAGGGGCCCCCCTAAAGCGATAACATGGCATTCCGCGTCCTGTCGCTCTCCGAGCCAAAACCCTAAACCCTAAACCCTAAACCCTAAACCCTAAACCCTAAACCCTAAACCCTAAACCCTAAACCCTAAACCCTAAACCCTAAACCCTAAACCCTAAACCCTAAACCCTAACCCCTAAACAAACCTAACCCCCTAAACCCTAAACCCTAAACCCTCCACCTAACCCTAAACCCTAAATAAACCTAAACCCAAACCACTAAACCCTAAACCTAAACCCTAAACAAAACCCTAACCCTAAACCCTAAACCTAAACCCTAAACCCTAAACCCCTAAACCCGAAACACCCTAAACCCTAAACCCTAAACCCTAAACCCTAAACCCTAAACCCTAAACCCTAAACCCTAAACCCTAAACCCTAAACCCTAAACCTAACCCTAAACCCTAAACCCTAAACCCTAAACCCTAAACCCTAAACCCTAAACCCTAAACCCTAACCCTAAACCCTAAGCCCTAAACCCTAAACCCTAATCCTAAACCCTAAACCCTAAACCCTATGTTGTCCGCCATCCACGTACCTTGTCTGTATAAGAGGCGGTGGCCGCGGCGGCTACGGTGGACCTCCCATGGGCCCCTTGTCAGCTGACATCCGTGTCTTTCTTTTGGGAGTTGTAGGGTTATTGCGGGCTTGGGGTTTAAGGGTTCAGGGTTTAGGGTTTCGGGTTCGGGGTTTTGGGTTTCGGGTTCGGTGTTTCGGGTTCAGGGTTTGGGGTTTGGGGTTATATTGACCCGCAAAGCTCCGATCTCGGCAATACACATAAGGCTGGAACCGGCTCGCCATATTTGTCCTTCTTTGTTTTCTGGGGAGGGGGTTGCAGTTAGCCTTCATTGCATTCCGTGGAAGAGATGGGGACCGGTGCCTTCACACGAAAAAAAGAGGAAGGGCCACGTCAGTAGAGCGAATTGGCTTGTCATTTTGTTCCGTGACCCCTAGATTAAGCCCTAAACCCTCATCCCCATGGCCCAACCCCTAAACCCTAAACCCTGAACGCTAAAACCTTAAACCCTGAACCCTAAACCCTAAACCCTAAACCCTAAACCTAAAACCTAAACCCTAAGCCCTAAACCCTAAACCCTAAACCACAAGCCCTACAAGCCCAAAAGCCCTCTGAACTCTAAGGTTGGGAACCGTGGGCCCTTAGTATGGCCTGTCACCCTTGTTTGTGTCTCTGGGGCAGTTTCATTCATGGGTTCCCCTACTACCCCCCTCTCTATAGGGTTTAGGGTTTAGGGTTTAGGGCTTAGGGCTTAGGGCTTAGGGCTTAGGGTTTAGGGTTTAGGGTTTGGGGTTCCCCTACTACCCCCCTCTATACTACCCCCTAGGTTCCCCCCATAATTAAGGCCTGACTGAGGTTATTGAAGGGGGAGTAGTATAGTGGGGGGGGGGGGGGTAGTAGGGCGTAGGGAAACCCATGGCCCGTAGTACTTCCTATACCTCCTTTACAGGGTTCTGAAGGACGGGCCCCTAGGGAATATAGGGTATATAAAGGGCATATAAGGGGTCCCCCCTTTTGAGGGCCCATACTAAGGGACCACGAAACTACCCTTATAGGAATGTATAGTGTATTCAACAGTTATATAGCAAGGGACTCAAATTAAGAGCCCATACTTGGAGCAGGGAGCATAGTACCCCCCCCCCCTTTTACAATCCCTTTTAAGGACTGTTACTATAAGGGGGAGCATCCCGACATATAGCGGTTATAGAAAAGGGACCCAAACTAAGGGCCCATACTTGGAACCCTACGTCCCTAAACCCTATACCCTGCAACCCCCCACCCCCCTCACCCCCCAACCAAAATAACAAAAACAAAATAAAATAAATTAATAAATATAAATATAAATAAATTTAAATATGTATATATATATATATGCAGAACCAAAGACTGCAAGCTCCAGGCGGGCCCCTGCCTGACTTCAAGGCGCCAATTGCTGCGAGGGTTTAGGGTTTAGGGTTAAGGGTTAAGGGTTTAGGGTTTAGGGGGCCGTGGGGTGCTGCCCGCCCTGAACTCTCAAAGGCAACTGAAGCCCTAAAACCCTAAAACCCTATCACCCTATAGCCCTATAACCCTAAAACCCTAAAAGCACTACAATGCCCAAAATCTAAAAACCCTGCCGCCCTAAAATAAAACCCTACAACCCTGAAGTCCTAAAACCCTAAAACCCCGAGCCCAAAACCCTGCGGTTTAGAGTCCGCCAGGAAGGGCCTCTCAGCAACAGGCACAAAAGTCAAGAGTTCAGGGTTTCGGGTTTAGGGCTTAGGGTTCAGACCCCGACAGGGTTCAGCGCTTAGGGTTTCGGTCGAAATCCTACACCCTGGGCCCTACGCCCTAAAACCCCCCAAACCCTCCCTTGAGCACAAGTTTATTGATCCTATAGGGAGATTGTATACTTAGAACTTCTTAAGATAAAGCCTAACCCTGAACCTTGAACCCTGAACCCTGAACCCTAAACCCTAAACCCTAAACCCTAAACCCTAAACCCTAAACCCTCTAAGCCTCCCTGGAGTGAGGCCCCCAGTGGGCCAGCGCCAACAAGCCTCGCCGCGCTGAAGCCGCCGGCGAGCATGGCGGAGGCACCCATGCAACTTAGGGTTTAGGGTTTAGGGTTTAGGGTTTAGGGTTTAGGGTTTAGGGTTTAGGGTTTAGGGTTTGGCCGATTAGGGTTTAGGGTTAGGGTTTGGGGTTTTAGGGTTTAGAGTTTAGGGTTTAAGGTGGTTTTTGGGGGGCGTTTCTGGGTCTTAAGGCCCATCCCAGAACAGACCGGAAGCCAGGATTTAGGGTTTACAGAGGGGTTTAGGGTTTAGGGTTTAGGGTTTAGGGCTTAGGGCTTAGGGTTTGGGACTCCGGGGTTGGGATTTAGGGTTTGGGGTTTAGGGTTTGGGGTTTAGGGCTTACAAAAAGGCCCTAAACCCTAAACCCTAAACCCTCAACCCTAAACCCTAAACCCATATGGTTTAGGGTTTTGGGGTTTGGGGTTCAGGGTTTGCGCCTCAAGCTTCAGCGACCTTGAGAAAGCACGCTTGATGAAGGGGGCTGGGTCCAAGAAGTTGTTTGGGGAACCTGCACGGTTTAGGGTTTAGGGTTTGGGGTTTAGGGTTTAGGGAACGGTGAACCCTAAACCCTCAAACCTAAACCTTGAACCCGGTAACCCTAAGCCCCCACAGAGACAGAGCAAAGCGCGCCGGGGCTCAGCGCGTTGCGCTATTTTAATGCAGGGCCGTTTCCGAGGTGACCCAACATGGGCCTATCATTTGTTTCAGAAAGGGTTTAGGGTTTAGGGTTTAGGGTTTAGGGTTTAGGGTTTAGGGTTTAGGGTTTAGGGTTTAGGGTTTAGGGTTTAGGGATTAGGTTTAGGGTTTAGGGTTTAGGGCGCTCCAAACGGCGCCCCAAATGATCGTTGATGACACTTCATTACTAGGCTCAACGAAGTAGATCCTACCGTATATCAAATACTAGAAATCAACCTATGAACCAAAAGGTAGCAGATATGAACAACACCAATCAATGAATAAAGACCTGTTGCCGAGATGTTCATCATCCTCGGGCCTGCAGTAGGCCGTTTGTCCCTGCGGGACTTGGAAGCCCCTTTAAACCCAAAAGAGCACCTTTTTTCTTTCCTAGGTTGCTCTTGGGTCACCCTAAACCCTAAATCCTAAACCCTAATCCCCAACCATTGCAGCAGATTCCTGATAGCTTAGGGTACCAAGGGGGCCCATGATCCCAGACCAACCTTCACGTGAGTACCGGCGATCCACAGCCTTGCAAGGGTTTAGGGTTATGGGTTTAGGGTATTCCTGGAGGTTCGCGGTACTTTTTAACCCAATTATTCCTGTATTCATATCTGTACTGACCAACCATATGAGGGCTTATAAGTGGGTTATAAGGACAGCTATAATTGGTTAATAAGTACCATGAACCTCCAAGTAAGGCTATAAGCCCTGAACCCTGATCCCTAAACCCTAAAGCTGGAGTGGAGCAAGTCAGTCTGTGGTTTGCGCACGCCAGTTGAACGCCGATCCTTCTGCCCACTGCAGCGGGGAAGCTCAGATTCAGGGTTTAGGTCTGCTTTCAGGTTTCAGGCTTATAGGGTTTAGGATTCATCGGTTAAAGGGTTCTTAAGGGAGGGGGGGCTTCAAGAGGGGCAGGTACCTAGGAACCCTAAGGGAAGCCTAGGGAGCCCTTAGGGAGTAGTGGGGAGCATTGGGGAACCTTGGGTTAGATACCCCCCTTGAACCTCCCCTTTAAGGACCCTATAAATAGGGCAAACCCGACACCCACCCTAAACCCTAAACCCTAAACCTTAAACGCTAAACCCTAAGCCCCATCTTCAGCCCTTCCAAGGCGGATCTACCGTTCAGGACCAGGAGATCAAAGTCATCGACCCTCGTGGGCAGCTGCTTCTTGACTGGGTCAGTTGAGGACTAGAAGGGTTTCAAGACTTCAAGCTTTCAGGGTTGAGGGTTTAGGGTTCAAGGTTTAGGGTCTCTTGGAGGTCCATGGTATTTGCAACCCAGCTATTACTGCACTTATAGCCCACTTAGAAGCCCCTGCAGTGCCAAAATGGTTAGAGTCGGGTTATAAGTGCAGGTAGTAAGTACCATGCCATGAACCTCCAAGTAAGGGTTTCAAGACTTGAAGCTTTCAGGGTTTAGGGCTTAGTGCTTGGGGTCTACCTGAAGAACCCCATAACCTGTTTAGGGTTTAGGGTTTAGGGTTTAGGGTTTCTTATTCTATAACCCCCCTTTATAGGATGGTCTTGGGTTCTTACGGTAGGGTTTCAAGGTGTTGGGGATCCTGGTTTTCATGGTTTAGCGTTTAGGGGTAAGCCCTAAACGCTAAACCCTAAACCCTAAACCCTAAACCCTAACCGGTGCACTTCGTGGAGGCCTCTGATTCCCTCGGATTCCTGCGTGGCGTTTCAGGACGAAGAAATACACTTCACCCAAAGGCTCCAATGTAGTTCCTTTTTGGATGAGTTACAGAGGATTAGGGTTTAGGGTTTAGGGTTTAGGGTTTAGGGTAATACCCCCAAAAGGTACTACACAGGAGCCTTTGGGCAAGTTATAGGGGATTAGAGTATGCTCCCTGGAAACTTGAAAAGGTACTGCATATATACAGGAGCCTTTAGGTGAAGCTTAAGCTTGAGTTTGAGTGCTTCGGGTTCGCCGCAACTGGATGCTCGGAAAAGACATGGCAGGCCTTTTGGCATGCTTGTCCCTTACAGCCGCTTACTCGCTTGAGAGGTCAAGAAACGAAACCCTGAATCACCAGAACGTAAGTATACCCGAAACCCCAAACCCTAGGCACGAATCGTTCCAATGACTGCACAGCCTTAGCTCAGGACGTCTGGCTCTTTGCATTCCGAAAGTCTTACAATGTAGTCGCATGGTCCCTTAATATGGGGTTAGGGTTTGGGTTTCCTAAACCCTAAACCCTAAACCCTAAACCCTAAACCCTAAACCCTAAACCCTAAACCCTAAACCCTACGTTGGGGACCCCACATTAAGGGACCATGTAACCTCCCTCAGAGCAAGGCCTTCGGGATTGATTTTTGCATCGGCACCTCCGGGTTCAGGGTTAGGGTTTAGGGTTTAGGGTTTAGGGTTTAGGGTTTAGGGTTCAGGGTTTAGGGTTTAGGGGTACCCATCCGTCCAAACTCCAAACCCGTAAAGCTGTGGGGGGGGGGGGCATGCTGCTGGTTTCGGGTCAAGGGTTTATAGGGTTTAGGGTTTAAGGTGTAGGGTTTACAGGGTCTAGGGAATGAGGGTTGAAGGTCTAGGGTTTAGGGTCTAGAGCACAGGGTTCCAGTCCCACGCAAAGGATGTACAACTATCCTCGCTACGCGACTTTCGCGGAAGCGCCCTTTTGCCCCTCCATCCAGGCTTGGGCAGGGGCCGGGTTTCCGAACGCAATGCTCCGTAAACCTGCAAACCTTAGGGGTGTAAGTTTAGGGTTTAGGGTTTAGGGTTTAGGGTTTAGGGTTTAGGGTTTAGGGTTTAGGGTTAAGGGTTGGGGTTTAGGGAAACCCTGTAAACCCTATAAACCTGTAGTTTCGAGGTTACGCTTTAAGGGCATTGCAACTTCTCCACACAAGCGAGGGAACGCGCCCTAGCCCCTAGATCTAAACCAAGCCAGACCTTGTGAAAACCTTTAAGCCTACAAACCTTAAACTCTAAACCACATGGTTTTGGGTCGGCTTAGCGCAAGTCCTTGCAACTTTTCATACCTGGTTCGACCTGCTGATGCTACGAGCATCTCGCCTTTTCCTGCAAATCCAGCATCCTCCGCCCCGAAACGCCTACCTAGCTCAGCCCCAATTAGGGGTTTCCGAAATTCGGGGTACCTTACACATTGCGGGGATGTGTTCAGCCCTTAGACGCCCTCGAAGCCTTGAAGCCAAACTATATGGTTTAGGGCTTGGATGGCTGTTTATACATATAGGCTAGTACGTGAGGGTATATGTTGCATCTCCTTCTAGGGCTACTCGTAGTAATATACACCCTACTTGACGAGGGCTTAGGGTTCAGGTTCAGGGTTTCAGGGTTCAGGGTTCAAGGTTTAAAGTTTAGGGTTTAGTGTTTAGGGCTTAGGGTTTAGGGTTATGGTTTAGGGTTTAGGGTTTAGGGTTACAACGACTAGATGCCACCGTTCACGCCGGAGGCTGACTTGCAGAGGGCGGGCTTCCCCGCTCCGTCGCAAATTCAGCAGCGGCTTGCCACTGCTTGGAAGCCCTTTTGACTTAGGGTTTAGGGTTTAGGGTTTAGGGTTTAGGGTTTAGGGCTAGGGTTTAGGGTTGGTAAGGTGGGTTCTGGGGGTGTTAAGAGGGTTTCTAAGGGGGTACTAAGTACTAAGTAGACTTACTAAGTCAAAAGATCTTCCAAATCGGTTTAGCTCCGAAACTCCAACGAGGCCGTAAACTTTAGTTGACCTCTACTTGATGGTCCCTTAATCGGGTTTATAGAGCTTCTAGGGTTTATAGGGTTTAGGGTTTTGGGAAGTTACATGGTCCCTTATAGGGTTGAGGGTATTGGGAAGTTACATGGTCCCTTAATCTGGTCCCTGACCTTCTTTAGGGTTGGGGCCTGCTATGGGATTCCCCAAGTAAGGGCCCATATAAACAGACCAGGTGACGACCCGAAGATAAACACCCCAAACGCCAGACTTTCACCCTGCTTTGCGTTGTACATCGCTGACGGAAAGATCCCCCAAGCCCCCTCATTCTCGGCTCTAGAAAAGCCCAAACCTAAACCAGCAGCAGGGGCGACCCTACATCCATAAGTGACTCGTCTACGCAAAGCGCAAGTCCTAAACGAACAACATAGCACTCCCTTGCTCTTATGAAACCCTAAACCCTACACGCTCGACCCTGAACCGTAAACCCTCACAAAAAGGGGTTCCCAATGCTCAAAGCACCCTCAACCCTTTCTCCTGAAGCAATGTCGGACTTAAACGCACCAACCCCCAACTGCTAAACACCTTAACCCCTAAACCCCATAGTTCTCCTAAGCCTTAAGCCCTGAACCCTGAACCCTATAGGAGCCCTAAACCCTAACCCCCAAAACCTAGAAGATAAACAGTAGTACTCCTAAGTCCGAAAGCCTGAGCCGTGACCCCTACACCCCATAGCATTCCTTAGCCCTAAGCCCTCAACTCCAAACCCTAAACAAGTTGGATCCTGGACCCTATAGTAGTCCGAAGCCCTAAACCCTGAACCGTAAGCCCCCAACCCTAAACCCTAAACCCTAAACCCTAAACCCTCATGCCCAGGTATGCATGGCCCTTGGCGATGCAGGGTTCAGATGTTATCGGCGTCGCTGCAACCGGCAGCGGTAAGCATTTCGGCATGCAGCCCAGTTGTGGTTTAGGGGTTTAGGGGTTTAGGGTGTAGGGTTTAGGGTTTAGGTTTTAGGGTTTAGGGTTTAGGGTGTGAAGTTTGGGTTTTGCTGTTGGGCTTAGGCCTCAGCAGTTCATGCGCTACCACCTAAAACCCTTCACCGCGAGCCTCAACTCTAAAACCTGATCACCGTCGAACCCGAAACCCTAAACTAAACTCTTAACGGTAAACTGTACGTGTTGATCGTTTTGAGGCAACGCTTAGGAGTGCCAGGCTAGCGGTACTGGGTTTGAGGGTTTTGGAGGGCTTGGGCGTCAGCATGAGTGAGGGGTTTCAAACCCTCACCCTAAGCCCTACGCCAAGGTTTTGTCGCGTTTGGTTTGGGTTTTGGGGTCGGGGGACTAGACTCCCTAGTGCAACCCTACACCCTAAGCCCTAAACCCGAAGCTCTGAAGCCTTCAACCCGAAACCCCCCCCCCCCCCCCATCGACCCCTAGACCCTCGAAGGCCCTCCTGAAATCATCGGTTTAGGGTCTAAAGATGTTTGGGTTTGGGGACTAGGGTCCATCTAAACACCCAAGAAGCCTTAATGTGCAGACTTTGGGGTTTGGGGTGCCTTACACACCCTCCACGCCTAAAGCCCTAGGGTTTAGGGCTTAGGGTTGAATAAACCCCTAGCAGCCCCCACCCTAAGCCCTAAACCCTAGGATGCCCAGTAGTACCCTTATTCCCTTTTTGGTAGGTTTAGGTTCCCTTATAAACCCCTTTAAGCAAAAAAGGGCACCGTTTTTCATCCGAGGTTACTGGGCAACCTAGAACCCTAAACCCAGGACTCTCGGCTTCCTTCTCCCCGCCTTCCACTACCTCATCGAGCGGCAGATCCGAGCGGGAAATCCGCAGCTGCTGGTGATGGTTCCTTGGGTGAGCCCATTCTGGGGAGACTCTGAGGAAGATTTAGGGTTTACGTAGGGTTTAGGGTTGAGGGTTTAGGGTTGAGGGGCTCATGTGGGGTTTGGGCCATCAGGGCTTCATTCAGGGCTGCTCAGGGAAAGTGGACTGGGCAGTCGCCGGACCTTGTGCTACCCGGTCGAATTGCCCTAAACCCTAAACCCTAAACCCTAAACCCTAAACCCTAAACCCTAAACCCTAAACCTCCGGAGTAGGCCCTTGTTATCCCTTGTTCCCTTTTGAAGGGTCTAATCCCTTCCCCCTTTTACTAACCCCCCCCCCTAATTGTAAAACACATTCCGGAAAATCCTTCCGAGCCCGCCTTTTTCAACCCTATTCCGAATTGGGGGGGGGGGGGGGGGTTCAGGCCTCCAATAAACCCCTCAACACCAATAAAACCCTCAGAGCTTAGGGGTAAGGGTTGAGGGTTTAGAGTCCAGTCTTTTCGCAGCACGATGCTGTCGGTGAGCTGCCTGTCTGGCTGCCTGTGAGCCTGGCTCTCCTGAGCCTACCTCACTAGTCATACCAGCTTAGGTCATTAATTACTTCAACCCTACATGACATTTGGATAAAAACACCCCCCCCCCCCCCCCCCGAATTATAAAAAACATTGTCAGTTCCTATTAGGGGGGTAGGGGGGGGGGGGGGGGTGGCCCCCCCGTTTAATAGTAGGGGGAAGGGATTAGGTTCGCTGAGGAAGCCCCTTTGAACCAAAAAGGGCACCCTTGTTATTCGTAGTTTGCTCCTGGGTCTAGACTGTGATGGTGCAGAACACCCTCAACTCTGTGTCATAGTGGGGTAGCATTTTACCTTTTTTCAGGGTACTCAAACTCAATGAGGAATCGAAATTTTGATTTTTATATTATCCCAACCATGAACTAGAACCGCCCCCCCCCCCCCCCCCCCCCCCACAGCCAAACGCTACAGTCCTAAAGCCCCACAGGCCCTACAACCCCTGCAACCCGCAGAAGCCCGAACCCCCAACCGATAAACCCGTAAACCCATAAACCCTAAACCCTAAAGCATAGGCTCCTACGCGCGAGCTGGCTGTGCAGATTGAGGAAGAAGCGGTCAAGTTCGGAAGGCGACAGCGGTCTCGGGATCGAGGTTTCAATGGTTTAGGGTTTGGGGTTTAGGGCTTAGGGTTTTGAGAATCCGAGCTTGGAGACTGATTCAACCTTCCTAAACTGGTTGAGGAGACGTTAGGAAACGTTGCGCCCGGCCAACTTCCGTGGGAGTTGGTAGGCAGGTTCCGTTTCAAAGCCCATTGAACACTGAGTTCTCAAGCCTAAGCATATATGGGTTTCCGAAATTAGCAGGTGCCTTTGTTGGGGTCCTCCTTTTCCGGGACTCCCTACTGTTTGGGGACTTCCTTAAGGGGTCTCTTATTGTCCTAAACCCCCAGTTTAGGATTTCACAGAAACCGGTTCCCCCGAATCAGCGCCTCTTAGTCAAGGAGCCCACCCAACAGGGCACCTGGCCTTCGGCAACCCCCACTTGAAGGTTCATGGTACTTACTAACCAATTATAACTGGGCTTATAACCCTGCTTATAATTGGGATAACCCCTATAAGGCCCTTTAGGGGTATGATAAGTAGCGTTATAAGTACAGTTATAATTGGTTTGTAAGTACCATGAACCTTCAAGCAGAAAGAAAGAGTCCGTGAGGTCCAGGGTCCCTTAACTGAAACACCCGAACAGCCATTTGGGGTTGAGGGTTTAGGGTTCAGGGTGGGCCCTAAACCCTCAAGCCTCAAACCCCAAAGCCTGAGTCCTTCACCTTCCTTCCGTGGTCCCGCGCCTGGGAATTCGGCACTGGAGATCCAAGATACAGGAAAACAGCGCCTGCGAGTGAAACCTCAACCTCAAACCTCAAACCGCAAACCCTGAACCCTAAACCCGCAGCCCTATAACCCTAGCCCTTCACCTCCCCGAACCAGTCGGAAGAGCTCATGTGGGTGAGAAGGTCGTTTGTAGTCGGGTTTCTCCTACTTAGTAACCCTGCGTACGAGTTCAGAGTGAGAGGATTGCGAGTTCAGGGTTTTGGGTTTAGGGTTTAATCATTCTTCCGGGTTCTGTGTCAGGGTTTTTATTACGGGGCCAACAAAGCCTTCGACTCTGAAGTTGCATGAGCAGCAGTTTAGGGTTTAGGGTTTAGGGTTTAGGGTTTAGGGTTTAGGGTTTAGGGTTCAGGGTTCAGGGTTTGTAATCCCCACTGTCGGAGGGTCCAGGTGCAGGAAAGCCCTAAGTCACGTAGATCCGAAGCTTCTAACCCCCGCACGCAGTGCACGCTAGCGCTCAAATTTTCAAAGCAACCCCGACCCTCCCAAACCCAAAGCCCTATACAAACCCCTCAAGCCCCAATCTTTGGGAGACCTCTTATATCCCCCCAAGCCCTAAACCCTAAACCCTAAACCCTAAACACCCAAACCCTAAACCCTAAACCCTCAACCCGACTTTTGAGGGGAAATGCCCACTCCAGCTCCTCCCTGAAGGTCGAGCGGGCTAAAGACGTGCTGCTGCTACGGCGGTGCACCCAAAGGCCATCGCCCCCGGGTGTGTTGAGCCTTGAACCGTAAGCGTACTGTTGGTTAGTAGGGAATGAGGGAATGAGGTGCCCTATGTAATCCCTTAGAGGGTATCTATAGGGGGATATAGGGTACCTCATTCCCCCATTCCCTACTAACCAACAGTAAGTAAGTCCTAGAGTCAAAGAGCCAATGCTCCTTAGTTCAGGAATATACCTTAAGTTTTAAAGGGATTCTTAATATGATTTAAGGAATATTCCTTACTTAAGGGGTACTGGGCTCTTTCGGGAGTCTATAAGCCCTCAACCTAAGTCTAGACTCTAAACTCTATAAACCCTTAATTCTAAACTTTACAAATCCTAAGTCCTAAACTCCATAAACGCTCAACCCTATTTAAGGCTAAACCCCAAAGTTCTCACTTTGCGGAGAGCACCATGAGTCATACCCTGAACCCTTAACCTTCAACCCCCCAAGACTCCCAGAACATATTTTAGGAACGAATGGCAGGACCCTTATGACTTAACGGACCTTAGGAGCTATTTTGGGGCTACTTAGGTATATAGGAACTATATAAGGTATACATGGCGGTTATTTTGGGGGATAAGATAAGGGACTCTTCTAGGGCCCCTCCTTATATCCCTTAAGAGTGAGATTTAGTGACCCAAGATTTGCTGAGGAAACCTTGGGGGGTAAAAAAAAAAAACAATCCCTACATTGCCCTTATAAGGAAGATTTTTTGTTGAGGGTTCTTGAGCAAATCGTAATATCCTAAGCCTGATATGTATATATATATATATGTATATGTAGGGGTTAGCTAGGGGAATGAGATTGAGGGTCCCTTCTAGGATTTGTATTATTGTTATCCCTAAACCCTAAACCCTAAACCCTAAACCCTAAACCCTAAACGCTAAACCCTAAACCCTAAACCTTAAGCCCAAAGCCCTTTTTTTTTTTGGGGGGGGGGGGAGGGGTTCTTAAGCAAGTCGCGGTTCTGGCAGGCCCACAGGCCATGTCCTTGAGAGATGGCGTTCATGGCGTCATCGGCCGCTGGGCTAGACTTTTGGGGGTTTAAGGGTTTTGGGGGCTTAGGGGTTTAGGGTTTAGGGCTAGGGTTTAGGGTTCGGGGTTTAGGGTTTTGGGGGCGTGGGGTTTGGAAAGGAGGGAGGCCTTCGTTGCGCTACTTGGGGCTTTTGCTCAGGTTGTAGGGCCTTAAACCCTACACCCTATAAACCCTATACCCCAAAAACCTTTTTAAACCCCACATATTATCAACCCTAAACTGAACCGAAGCCCGATGCTGTCTACAAAGTCAAGGGTTTGGGGTTTTTAGGGCTCCAGTTTGGAGCCCTAAAAAGGTTTATGGTTGAGGGTTTGGGGTTTAGGGTTCAGCTGTAGTCGAGCGGATGGCGGATAGGGTCTCGGGTTTAGGGTTTCTAGGGCAGGTAACGCGGGATCCCGTGATCTTAGGGCGTGGGCAGGGGGGAGACGGGGGAGGCTTTGGAGGCTGTGGATCCCGCGCTTAACTAACCCTAAACCCTAAACCCTAAAACCCTAAACCCTAAAGGAGTCTCATGTGAGAGCCAGGAAGGGCCAAAAATATAGATTCGCCATTCGGTCTTACATTTAGGGCTTAGGGTATAGGATTTACATAAACCCCCACATTATATAAGCATTTAGGGCTTAGGGTATAGGACTTACCTAAACCCCCCAAAAGTATGTTGGCACATGTGTTTTATGGGTTTCGGGCCTCTTGTTTTAACATACTTGTGGGGGGTTCCAGGTAGGGACTGCTTTGCTCGAGCCCGCATGCGTTACTAAGGCCTCCGCACAAACGCAGAGAAGCCTCCGCGTCATGCCAATCCCGATGCCAAAAAAAACATCTGAAGGCCCGCAAGCAAGAGACCTGCAAAACTCGAGCAACCTGGGACTCTCTTACGTACATTGCGTACTGTTTAGGCATGTATTGGAGAAACCCATGAGCTGTGGGTAAGCAGAGTTGCTCACTGCTCGCTAGACGCAGGCGTGCAAGCTTAAAGCCCAGCACGGGCCGCAGCCCATCCTCGCAAAAAAAGCACCCCCAAGCACCTACGAGACTAACAACGGGAGTGAACCCAGTACCCTCAACGGCCTGCTGCTTGATTTGCGACCCGAATCATGTGGATGCCCAGCTGCTTCCCATCATGTTTGACCCAGAGCCGCCTGCGGGGCTGCAGCATCAATGATGCTCGGGATGCTGCTTTTCACAGTGGCAAGGAGGTGCCGACTGCGAGGCGATGTCAGACATGGTGTGCCATGCTGATGTCTTTTCAGCCAAGAGCTCGGAATGGCTCATGCCCCCGTGCGCAACCTCTTTCGAAGCATGGCGCGAACCGAGCTCATGGACCAAGGGGCCTTAAGCCTTACCTGGACCCCCAAAGTATGTAAAAACCGTTGTAGCCCAAAACCCATAAAACAAATGCCCATCTCTTACATAGTTAAGGGGTTAAACCCTGTTGCCGATCATCGCTGAAGATGATAGGTACACTCTTCAAGCGCGGATGCCATCTCTCGTCCTGCGCGTACTACGAAAATCCCTAGAACCCTGAACCCCAAAGCCCCAAGCCCAACAAAAACCTAAACCCCAAAAGCCCTAAACCTCAAAAACCTTATACCCTGAACGTCTCAGCGTAGGCAGTTACCTCAACCTCATCTTCTTGCCTTAAGGGACGCTGGGCCTTCTGGGGGAGGGGCTTGCCCCAGCCGAACCACCCCCCCCCTCCCCCACCCCCCAACTCCCCCCTCCACAACAAGGCAGAAAAAACACAGAGAAGAATCAGAAATAAGAACCCTAAACCCTAAACCTTAAACCCTAAGCTCCAGCTTCAAAGGCACCCCGGGCCGAATCAACGACTTCCTGGAGGGCAATCAGCCACCCAGCTGCGGGGCGAAGCCCTAAGCCCTAAGCCCTAAACTTGAAACCCTAAGCCCTAAACCCTAAACCCTAACCCCAAACCCCAAACCCCAAACCCCATTTTAGGGTGTAGGGTTCAGGGTTTAGGGTTTAGGGTTTAGGGTTTAGGGTTTAGGGTTTAGTATACACTTGGGCTCTAAAGCTACTAAATAGGAACGAGGGTTTGGGGTTTAGGGTATCGGCTTGAGGCTTTGCGGTGACCCTGTGTTTCATAAAGGGAGGTTGGGCCACGAAGGTGGTAGAAAAGTACTGTTCTAGCCGTGTATTTAAACACCACCTACCCCTAAACCCTAAACCCCCACTTCCCCTAGACCCTGCCACCCCTAGACGACCACCCCTACCACCCCTAACAGACCCACCCCGAGACCCACCACTCCTGGACCCCACCACCGCACCCCAACAGAGGAGGCAGGGGGGTGGTCCGCTTGTTTAGAACCCCCCCCCCCCCCCCCGGGGGAAAAAAAAATCATGATGATCACTATGTTGTGAGTACATCAGGAGATTTTTCCTATTTCATGGGACATACCCATATGACATATTGAGGGCTGCACGGGGTTTGTTTCACAATTAGCAGGAAGCCTCAACTTGAAACACCCTGATAGGGAACTATGTGAGGGTCGTGAATGTCGTGAGGGTCGTGTACTTGGGCTTCCTTGTAGTGGAAAGCTCCCCACCGCACTAAACCCCAAACTCCGAACCCAAAACCCCAAACTCTGTCATACGTAGTTCTCCAAACTAGGGTCCCTCTTCGGTGTCCTTACTTTAAGGGTGCTCAGCAGTTATATAGGACCCACAAGGAACCCTAAACCCCAAACCCTATATAAACCCTAAACCCTAACCCTCATTTCGAGAGCTACCCATATGATTAACCCTATGTCCGCCAGGGTAAACCTCAGTGATGTCTGCAAGCTCGTCCTCGATGAGGCGGACCGCATGCTGGACATGGGCGCCTTGACGCAAAGTTTAGGGTTTAGGGTTTAGGGTTTAGGTTTAGGGTTTAGGGTTTAGGGGTTTAGGGTTTACGGTTTAGGGTTTCTGTGCACAGGATGCTCAGCAAGTTCGGGTTCAGGCTTTCGGGGCTTTGGGATTTTGCGCCCGCCTCCCCCCCCCCCCCCCCCCACCCCCTCCCTTAAACTTAAAACCCTAAAACCTAAACCCTAAACCCTAAGCCCTAAACCCTAAACCCTAAGCCCGAGTCCAGGTGAAACCAAAAGCGCGAAAACTGAACCCTAAACCCGAAGCCCGAGTCCGGAGCTCCACATGCAGGAGGCCCTATTCGATAAACCCGATGCGTTTTGGGGGCTAAGGTTGGGTCTCATACTTGAAGGTTCATGGTACTTACTAACCAATTATAGCTGTACTTATAACCCTACTTATAATGCCCCTAAAGGGCCTTATAGGGGTTATCCTAATTGTAAGTAGGGTTATAAGCCCGGTTTTAATTGGTTAGTAAGTACCATGAACCTTCAAGTAGTGGTTAGACGTTTAGAGGCCTGAGAGGCTGGGGGTCCTTCCTGGGGCCTTTCGTTGTTGGTCTTCAGCCTGGTTTGAGTAACCACTCCCCCTTGACGTACCCCTAATTATAAAAAAAGTACTTTCCGGAAAATCCTGCCAAAACCGACCCCGCCTGCGGAACTCCATTCCGAATTCGGGGGTTGAGGGCTCCCAAAAGCCTCAAACCAACCAGCATCCTGAAGCTCCCTTCCCTCCCAGCCCTCCCAGCCCTCCCTTCCCTCCCAGTCATTTCGCAGCATTACGCTCTCAGGGCTTAAGTCGTTACTAGTCGTTACTTAAACCCTCCAAACCCTGAAGCCTAGACCCTAATCCTTTGGACCCGAAACATGACATTTGGATATAAATATCCCCCTAATATTAAAATCACATTTCGCGTTACCCTCCCTAAGGAGGGTTTCGGTTCATCCTTGAGCGTCACGTGTTAGCTGCCCTTTAGGACTGCGTCGCCCGAAACCACAAGCATGGGATCACATGGGAAGCCTCCCCAATGCTTGACCCTAAACCCTAAAACCCTAAGCCCTAAACCCTAAACCCTAAACCCTAAACCCTAAACCCTAAACCCTAAACCCTACGAAGAGCCGCAGAGAGAGCACAGAGCCTCAGGCTTTGAGCCACAGATCCGGAAGGTGCTGGCCAGGAGCGGCCCTGGTATTCTTAGATCTAGGATTTTACGGTTTAGGGTTTAGGGTTTAGGGTTTAGGGGTTTAGGGGTTTAGGGTTTAGGGTTTAGGGGTTTAGGGGTTTAGGGGTTTAGGGGTTTTAGGGTTTGGAGGTTTAGGGGGTTCAGGGTTTAGGGGTTTCAGGTGGATTTGGGGAGTTGGTTTTGACCCTACACCCGAAACACTAAACCCTAAACAGGGTTTCCGGGTTTCGGGTATTTTAGGGGGTTCAGTTGGATTTTTTTGGGAGTTAGTTGTGGTGGCTTGGGTGTTTACGGCTTGGGCGGAGGTTGGGGGGGGGGGGGGGGTAGGGTTGAGGGTTGAGGGTTGAGGGTTGAGGGTTGAGGGTTGAGGGTTGAGGGTTGAGGATTGAGATTTTAAGGTTTAGGGTTTGGGCTTTAGAGGGCTTAGACTCTCATTGCAAGAAGTACCCTGCAAGAGAGACTAGGTAGGGTTCATCCTACTTGGTAGTGTTTGATAGCGGCTAAGCACCATAAACCCAAAAGCCCAAAAACCCAAACCTCCCCTAAACCCTGGACCCTAAACCCTAAACCGTTTTACAGGTGTGAATACTGCAGCTGGCGAGACTTTAGGGTAGCTGTCAGCACCTGGGCCCCTTAAAGCTTAGGGTTTAGGGTTTCGGGTTTTTCTTGCCCTAAACCTCCAGGCCCTAAACCCCACACCTGAAACCTTGGGATGCTATAGACCCGAAACAGCAGTGCTGCCCTAAACCCTAAACCCTAAACGCTAAACCCTAAACCCTAAACCCTAAACCCTAAACCCTAAACCCTAAACCCAAACCCTAGGGTTCATCGACCTCGTGGCGTGTAAAATGGGGAGGGTGGTCGGACTTCATGAGCCCCGAGCCACTCAAACCGGTTTAGGGCTTGTAGGGTTTAGGGTTTAGAGTTTAGGGTTTAGGGTTTAGGGTTTAGGGTTTAGGGTTTAGGGTTTAGGGTTTAGGGTTTAGAGTAATTATAGGCTTGAGGATTTAGGGCAGCTTTGGTAGCTTCAAAGACCAGGATCACCAACCCCTACCGCCACACAATGTTCTTTACGGCCACGCGGCTGCGAGATAGTGGCCACTGCTTCCCTTTTCAGAGGAGCCCGAAAGCCTAAACCCTAAACCCTAAACCCTAAACCCTCTAACCTCATAAACCCCAAGCCCCTAGTTAAGCCCCATAACCCTAGAACATAAAACCCTAAGCCCTGCACATGGCTGGGTGGGGGTAAGGGGGGGCGGGTGTGTGTCGGGGATTTTCGGTGGTTTTGTTGCTTAGGGCGGGGGTATTTGGAGGGTTTTCGGTATGGCTAGGCCCGGATGCAGAAAGAATCTCCTCAAGACCTCCTGCTACTTATCATAGGCCCCATGATTGCACCGTTCGAAGCCATGAATCGAAAGCTGGTATTGGGCGGGGGGGCGGGGGGCGGGTGGGCGGGGCATATCCAAGATCTCAAATCCTTCGATCAGCTCCCCTGTCTGGCACCTGTCAGTTCAACCCAGAGCCCTAAACCCTAGCCCTAAACCCTAAACCCTAAACCCTAAACCCTAAACCCTAAACCCTACGCCCTGAACCCCCCCGTGGCGTGGGGGCTGAGGGTTGAGGGATCCTTCAGTCAACCCTTAGGGCTGCGGGATTCTTAGGGTTGAGGTTGAAGGGTTTAGGGTTTAGCTGGGCCTTGAACACTATAGTAGAGTTTAACTTTAAGCCTACCCAAAAAGTACCCAAACCTTTACAGCCCCAAACCCTAGAGTAGGTTTCTGAGAGCTCCCGTCTGGTGGTGCTGGGTTTAGGGTCTGGGGCTTAAGGTGCAATCCACCCCCTAAATATTCCCAAGGTTTAGGGTTTAGGGTTTAGGCCTAGGGTGCCCCCCAATCCCTACCTATTCATCAGATGACAAGCGAATGTACCGGCGCCTACTCCTGGCTGAACGTCTACCTGCACATGCATACATATACATATATATATATATGTGTGTGTATGTATGTATGTATGTATGTATGTATGTATGTATGTATGTATGTATGTATGTATGTATGTATGTATGTATGTATGTATGCATGTATGTATGTATGTAGGTAGGTATGTATGTATGTATGTATGTATGTATGTATGTATGTATAATATATGTATATATATATATACATACGCGTATGTTATCTGTTTTTGTATTTTCCCCAAGCCCTAATAAGCCCCAAGCTCTGAAACCGCAAGCCCTGGAACCCTAAACCCTGCCTTTGGGTTGCTTGGAGCCCATGGGTGCATAACACCGAAACATATGTCCTTAGGGCCCTAAACCCTAACGGGTTTAGGGTTTAGGGTTTAGGGTTTAGGGTTTAGGGTTTAGGGTTTAGGGTTTAGGGTTTAGGGGGGGGGTATTGTGCTCTCGGACAGGATAAAGTTCATGGGTGTTTCGAGAGTTGTTCCACAGTGCGGCCCGTTTGGCGTCCTGAGTGGTTGCCCGTTAGGGTCCCGATAGTAGGGTTCGGGGCTTAGGGTTTAGGGTTTAGGGTTTAGGGTTTAGGGTTTAGGGTTTAGGGTTTAGGGTTTAAATTTAAACTCTAAACCCTCGGGCGCAATGCAGCAAAAGCCCAAAGCCAAAGCAAAACGGAGCTAAAGCCCCAAAGCTCCCAAAGAGCCCAAAAACTTCAGGTACGTTCCTTACTTGAGGCGCATTGGGCTCCCTTCGGCAAAGCAAAAGTTATAGTGTAAAAAAACTGAAACCCGAAAGCACTCAATCTGAGGCATTTTCGGTGACCTAATGGGGGTATTGGTTCAGGGTACTTAGCTCCCCGATTACATACTGTACATATAAGCCCCCTAAGGTTGCCTAAGTAGGTTATGTGTAGACATAGAATTGGGGTCCTAGCCCCAAAAACCCTAAGCCCTAAATCCTACACCTTAGACATGGGCTTGTAAGTGCCCATGAACCTCGTAGTTGGCACTCAATCTGAGGCCCTAAACCCTAGACCCTAAGCCCTAAACCCTAAACCCTAGAATTTGGGGTGATGCCCCATGGAAAACCTCCGTGTGGGCACTCAATCTGAGGCCACTTGGCCCATGTCAATCCGGCGCCTGGCCGCGGAATTCCTTCGGAATCCGGCTCCTTGGAGTGAAAGTGAACCAATTTTCGGGGTTTGGGGATTTATAGGGTTTAGGGATTTATAGGGGCTTAGGGTTTAGGGAGTTTAGGGTTTAGGGTTCAGGGTCTACAAGGAGTGAGGGAGTTTTTGGCTGACCTAGGACTACCTTTTGTGGCTTCTGCCGAGCAACCCCAGAGGTAGTTAGGGTTTAGGGTTTAGGGTTTTGGGGTTTGGGGATACCACGAAGCTGTAGATAAAAAAGAGTAATCGCTACAGGGAGGCTTCCTGAACCCTTGCATCACTTACGCCCTCAACCCTGCAAGTCTCTGAGGCCCCTCCGGGCTCAGGGCTTAGGGCTTTTTAGTGTGTCTTTATGAGCGTACGGCTCCTTCTATCGTCGGGGTATGTATCACACAGTTGTGTTGTTGTTTTCAGTAGGTTTTGCGGGGCCATTTAGAACCACATGCGTTAAAGCACAGGTTGGGGTTTTCGGGTTTGGGCTTCGGTTTTCAAAGTTCAAGGGGTTCGGGGTTTTTGGCGTTTCCTCCTACACTCCACAGCCCGAACCCGTACCAGTATGGAGTTTTGAGTTAGAGTGTGTTGTTCTTACCCCCTAAAGCCTAAAGCCTAAAGCCTAAAGCCTAAAGCCTAAACCCTAAACCCTAAACCCTATGTAAACCCTAGACCCTAAACTTGCAGGGGTTCTAACGCCCTGAGCCCTCCAGCACGGTTCCCCCCTCACCGTCGGACGTCACTCAGATCCAGATTCAGATCGGGAATCGAGATGAGCTGAAGGGCAACCAGGAAGGGCCTTTATAAGATTTAGGGTTTCGGGTTGAAGGGCAACCAGGACAGAAGGGTTATGGGGCTTCAGAGGTTTTGCTGCAACTGCATTTTATGTTTCGGAGGGGATATTTGCCAGATGCCTTGTGACTAAAAAAACTGCTTCAAGAAAAGTTGGGACAAGAGGGCACCGCTTTGGGCTTGGAGGTTTAGGGTTTGCGTAGTGGCCTAAGCCCAAACCCTAGTGTTGGTGTGGGCGTGTCCAGGGGGCGCAGCATCCTAGCAGATTTTTAGGGTTGAGGGTTTAGGGTTTAAGGTTTAGGGTTTGGGTGGGGGGTGCCAGAGTACTCTGGATTCGCCAAGTAAAGGTTCTCCCTGTTACCTGGGACCCAGAATAGGCCGTCATTCCATTTTTTAGGGTCTGGGTTCCCCTATACGCCCTTGACTTTAAACCAAAAAGGGCGTCCTTTTTTATTCCTAGGCTACTCTTGGGTCTAGTTACAGTTTACCTTGCAGGTTACAGTACCAAACAACCGGCCCAAGATTTCAGGATCACGCCCCCAGATCAACCCCTAAACCCTAAACTCTAAACCCTAAACCCTAAACCCTAAACCCTTGAATGTTGATTCTTCTCGCTCTGGGGCGCGAAGCCAGAACCCTTGAGCCCATCAACCACCCCAGAGCCCTGGTGGATCCACAGGGCTTAGGGTTTAGGGTTTAGGGTTTAGGGTTTAGGGTTTAGGCTTTGGGTTTAGGGTTTTCCGGATCCCAGCAAGTGTTCGGCTTCAGGGTCTGGGAGGATTCTGGGAGTTTAGTTCGGGTCGAGGAACATCGAGGCGTGGGACGTATGGGGCCTTTCGAGGGTTTAGCTCGGAGCCCCTTTAGGGTTTAGGGTTTAGGGTTTAGGAATGAGGGATTAGGGTTTAGGGTGCCCTGCGCTCTGTGGAGCTTGAGTCTGCAACGACATGAAGGGGCTGCTTTTCACAGGACATCGTGCAGATCGTGACGCCTTGCACCATGCACAACAAGCATCTCGGCCTGTCTGGTTTCGGGAACCTAACCCCACCCTAACCCTAAACCCTAAACCCTAAACCCTAAACCCTAAACCCTAAACCCTAAACCCTAAACCCTAAACCTAAACCCTAAACCCTAAACCCTAAACCCTCAGTCTCCTTCAGCCCTAAGCTCGGGTCATTTTGGGGAGTTACTTCCTGGGGCCCCAAAGGGGGTGGAGAGAGGATGGGAGGGGTTTAGGGTTTAGGGTTTAGGGTTTAGGTTCTACTGTTTGCTCAAGAAATCCGCAACAGAATAACCATGTTCTTCCTCACTCAAGGCTAATTCAGGGTTATTCTACTTTATTTTTTCAGGGTTCTTAAGTCGTATCCTACAGCCTTCCTATGCCTCCAATCATGGGTTTCGAAGGCAATCCCTTTACACTAAGGGTTTGCGTGAAACCGAAGGCTCTTTACTTCTTGGTAGCCCAACGGTACCCTGTTGCCCTTCTTTCCCAAAGGATCCATGTACCTATATAGTATATACTCAAGCCTTAAAGGGGTTCCTATATAGTAGCTTTACGGCCTAAGTATATGCTATTTCGTTACATGGATCCTTAGGGTTTGATTCTGGGTTCCCTCATACAGGCAACCAACCGCAGTCCTCTTGCCTCTTAGTTGGGGTTGATATAGGTGATTCTCTAAATTTTGGCCCTTCTTGGGAGCTACGATTATAAGGCAGGGCCCTGAGATTTAGGGTACCCAAACAGGAACCCCAATTTAGAAAAATCTAACCCAAAAGCCTCGAGCCTGCAATTCGTCCCAAGACCTACTCGGAGGTTCATGGTACTTATTTGACCCAGCTGCAGCTGTACTTCTAACCCACTTGTAAGAGTTTAGGGTTTAGGGTTAGGGTTTAGGGTTTAGGGTTTAGGGTTTGGGGTTTAGGGTCCCTTAAGTGTCTCCTAAAATGGCTATAGTTGGGTTGTTAAGTACAGGTATAGTTGGGGTTACCAAGTACCATGAACCTCCAAGTAAGTTCCGGCGTGGTAAGGAACCAGCTGCTTCTTCAAGTCTTGGCGCAATCTGGCCGCGTCGCTGCATCCGGCACCAAACCTAATCCTAGGATGCCCAGTAGTGCCCTTATTCCCCTTTTGGTAGGTTTAGGTTCCCTTATAAACCCCTTTAAGCAAAAAAGGGCACCCTTTTTCATCCTAGGTTACTGGGCAACCAAGAATCCCTCAAGAGACCTCCAAGCTTTAAACCCCGCTACCCTAAACCCTAAGCATCCATGTACCTCCATAGTGTACTTGGCCCCAAGAGCCACTATATAGGAACGCCTTGAAGGCCCAAGCATATACTACATAGGTACATGGATTCTTAGGGTTATCCCTGAGGCCTTAAACCTGTCGTTAGCTCAGCAGGCTTCAAACCCTGAAGACTGCGGTCCTCCAGCCCTAACCCTTAAACCCTGCAGTCCTCCAAACACCTCAGGGTGGTTACGTGGGCCAGTACAGGCCCTTGGGTGGTATGGGGTATAGAAGGGGTATGTAAGGGGTCCGCTTTTTTAAGGGCCCATACTAAGGCACCATGTACCTACCCTAAGAAGACAGCAGCCTCGATGCCCTCATCCCTAGACCCGAAACCCTCCAAAATCCCTACATGTGTTGAAGGTGTCGGCGACCGTGGCAACAAGGATGCCAAAGCCATCATCTTCTGCTCCACCAAGCGTATGCCAGGGCCTGAGCACTTTCGCTGTGTAGCTTTAGGGTTAAGCGGTTAGGGTTTAGGGTTTAGGGTTTAGGGGTTCACGGTATTTACAACCCAGTTGTAACTGTATTTACAACCCACTTACAAGCCCCTTAAGTGCCCTAATACGTTACAAGTACAGTTATAAGTACAGCTATAATGGGTGAATAAGTACCATGAATCTCCAAGTAAGGGTTTGGGGTGGCAATTTGTCAGGGCTTGCATAGAGGCCTCAGCGTCTAGGGCTCAGCGGAGGTGCGACCAGCTGCAACGCGACCTGCAACGTGCGGGCGTGCCCTGCGACTAGTCTGCATTTCAGGCTTGGGTTTAGGGTTTAGGGTGTAGGGTTTAGGGTTTAGGGTTTAGGGTTTAGGGTTTAGGGCTTAGGGCTTAGGGCTTAGGGCTTAGGGTTTAGGGTCAGGGTTTAGGGTTTAGGGTTATAGGCCCTATCTACCCAGAGAGCCCCTTAAGAAAACATAGGAAGGGATTTTCTTGATAGTTAAGGTATGTTCCTGAACTATGTGGTAGGAAGGTCTCTCTGCGTACCCTAAGCTTCCGTTCATGGTTTAGGGCGTTTAGGTCGAAAAAGCAAGCTAGGGGTGCAGAGTATCCTCCAGATGAATTTCGTCAGGAAGGTGGGTTGCGGGTTTAGGGTTTAGGGTTTACCCAAAGGCTCCAACGTAGTTCCTGTTTGGGGTGAGTTACAGATCATAGTATACCACCCAAAAAGGTACTACATAGGAGCCCTTGGGTAGGGTTTTGAGGAGATGCACATGAGTGCACTTGACGTATTAGGCTCAGGTTCAGGGTTTGCGCCTTTTTTCCAATCCAGGTGCAGCCATCCACGGTGACAAGGGTCAGCGTGAGCGCGAGCACGCCGCTTGCCTTCCTTCGTACGAAGCCCTAAACCCGAAACCCTAAACCCTAAACCCTAAACTCTCAACCCTTGCAGTTGACTTGAGGATTTCTCTTTGATGTGCATTGTGAGGTGGGTGTCGTGAGAGATTATGGAGTTCTCAAAGGAGGGGGGTTCAAGGGGACTTGTATCCCAAGCTTCCCTAATTCTCCCCACTACTCCCTCAGGCTCCCTAAGCTTCCCTTAGGCTCCCTAGGTACCTACCCCTATGAACCCCCTCCCTTATGGGTGTTTTGAAGGGTGTCGGGCTCAAGCGGTGTAGGCAATTTGCGTAGAGTTGTGAGTACACCTTGGGATCACGGAGATGGACAATTGCATAACTTGGCAAGGTCGATGTTGCATCTTTGGCTGATCTGAGCCCAAGTCCTGAAGATTTTCAGGATTTAGAGCTTATACAGAGTTGGAGGTGGAATGAGTATCCTCAACCCGAAACCCTGGACCCAAAACCCTACCCTGAACCCTGAACCCTGAACCCTGAACCCTGAACCCTGAACCCTGAACCCTGAACCCTGAACCCTGAACCCTGAACCCTGCCCTAAACCCTAGACCCTAGACCCTAGACCCTAAACCCTAAACCCTAAACCCTAAACCCTAAACCCTAAACCCTAAACCCTAAACCCTAAACCCTAAACCCTAAACCCCCAACCCATTCACCGTTTTGGGCGGTGTTTGCGAAGCGTTGCCGAGGCCCTGGGCGAGCTGACGCTGAGTCGCACTTGAAAGCTTGAGCTTCTACCTTAAGCCCGAGCAAACTTATCTTGGGATTTAGGGTTTAGGGTTTAGGGTTTAGGGTTTAGGGTTTAGGGTTTAGGGTTTAGGGTTTAGGGTTTCCTAGTAGTAGAGTAGGTAGCCGTCCTTTTTGGGGTAGATAATCCCAAAGGTTAAGGTTAGGGTTTAGGGTTTAGGGTTGATATCGCTTAGGGTTTAGGGCGATCAAACCTTGCTCCCCAAGCCCGAACCCCCGTCCGCAAGAAAAAGGTCATGTGCGCTTGGACGTGCGCCTAACGCCCTGTGCTCTAATCTTTCTAGCAATGCCTTTCAAAGATATTGGGTTTAGGGTTTGGGGGTTAGGGTTTAGGGTTTAGGGTTTAGGGTTTAGGGTACTGGTTGAAGTAAATTTCGATGGAAACGGTTGTCAGTTTCAATGCTGTCGGTTGTCGATAGATCTGAAGTTTGAAGCTTTGGGGGGGGGAGCAGGGGGGGGGGGGGGGCGCAACCAAAAAAAGAAGATGTGTTAGGCTTTGGGCCTTTAAGGGTCCATGTCTTTAAAGTTCCATCCCATGCGAGATGCGGGGGGGGGGGGGGGGGGGGGGGGGGGGGCGAACAAACAAAAATGATGGCCATGATGTGATTGCTGATTGCTGACGGCCGAAAAAAACGAAGGAAGAGTTGTTGCTTTTCGGGCCTTTGAGGCTTCCTCATAGGCATGGGTTTGGTCCAGGCATTTTGTGAAGGTGAGAAAAAGGACGAGGATACAATCTTTACCCGCCAAAACCTGGACCCCGAACCCCAAACCCCCAAACCCCACACCCTAAACCCCAAACTAGGTCTCTAAACTCCACACCAGAAGCCCCAAACTCCGCAAGCAAAACCCCAAACCCCGCACCCTAAACCCTCAACTTCGACCTAAACCCCATAAGCCCTGAATAGAACCTCCAAGTACAAGCTTGGTAGGTACCTAGGGAACCTTAGAGAAGCCCTGTGGGAGTGGTGGGGAGTATTAGGGAACCTTGGGTTACATTCCCCCCTTAAGAACCTCCGCCCCCTTAAGGGTTTAGGGTGTAGGGTTTAGGGTTTAGGGTTTAGGGTTTAGGGTTTAGGGTTTAGGGAACCCTGTAAAGCTTGCAACCGCTTTCAGGAAGTCCGGTGCCATGAAGCTCATCGTGGCGACGGACGTGGCCGCGCGCGGTATCGACGTCAAAGGCATGGGGTTTGCGGGGGTGGGGGAGGGGGTGTCAGTCAGTGAAGCTTGAGGTGTGGGTAGAGTTTAGGGTTTGGGGTTTAGGGTTTCGGTTTTCGGGTTTAGGGAATCCCGGTTTAGGGTTTAGGGTTTAGGGTTTTGGCGGCCGGGGGGAGTCAGGGGTTTATGTCAGGTTCAAGATTCGAGGGTGTCGAAGGCCAAGCCCTGGGCACTAGAGGTTCTCCCATTGGCCGCCGCACCCTTAACCCCAAGCCCGAACCCTCCCTAAACCCTAAACCCGAAACCCTAAACCCTAAACCCTAAACCCTAACCCCTAAACCCTAAACCTAAACCCGAAGCTCAAACTCTATCTGTCCAGCATACCCTCACCCTTAACCCTAAGCCCGAACCCTTCCTCCCCGCCCCCGCTAAGCCCTAAGCCCTATATAAATATAAACCCTAAATCCTAAACCCTAAACCCTAAACCCTAAACCCTAAACCAAAAGGCTAAGGTCTTAGGGTGGAGGGCCTTGCTACACAGGGCTTAGGTTGAGGGTTGAGCGTTTGGGTTTCAGGGTTTTAGGGTATATAAGGTTTGGAGTTTAGGGTGCAGGGTTTTATGGACGTTCCTTGCACCTAGCCTGGTGAGGGAACCCGTGTTTTAAAAGCAGCAGCAACAACAACAAAAAACACCCCTACTGCCTGGTGAGTGAGGTGTGACGCTGGTGGTGAACTATGATGCGCCCGGCAACACCGAGGACGCTGTGACCCTAAACCCTAAGCCCTAAACCCTAAGCCCTAAAGCCTCAACCCTAAACCCTAAACCCTAAACCCTAAACCCTAAACCCTAAACCCTAAACCCTAAACCCTAAACCCTAAACCCTAAACCCTAAACCCTAAACCCTAAACCCTAAACCCTAAACCCTAAACCCTAAACCCTAAACCCTAAACCCAACCTAACATTAGCAGGATCAGGCTGCATAGGCTTACGTGAACAATCTGTTTTTCATGCATCCTTTCAGGCACATAAACACAAGGTTGCACCTTGCACTGGCAGTCGTGTAGGGTTTACGGCTTTGCGGTTGTGGGGTTTTGGGGTTTGATCCTCCTAGCCCTACACCCTGGACCCTAACCCTAAACCCTCGATCCTCAACTCCTTAACCATGACATGCGTGTCGCAGGACTACGTGCATCGAATTGGCCGAACAGGCCGTGCCGGACAGAAAGGCCCCTTTGCTTCTGCAGCCCTAAACCCTAAACCCTGGGTTCTCCTGGTATTCCGGTATTCCCTAAGGCTCCCCTAATCTTCCCTAAGCCTTCCCAGGTACCGACCCCCCTCCTTGAACCCCCCTCCCTTAAGAACCCTAAACCCTCAACCCTAGACCCTAGACCCTAAACCCTACACCCTAAACCCTAAACCCTAAACCCTAAATGCGCTTGCCCAGGTTACGCTGTGACTATGATCACAGACAAGGATGCCCATGCCCTGCGTGGCATCATCGAGGTCATGAAGCGAACCAACCAGGACTCTTAGGGTTTAGGGTTTGGGGTTTGGGGTTTAGGGTTTACCCAAAGGCTCCAATGTAGTTCCTTTGTGGGTTCGTTATAGTTTATAGAGATAGTATACTACCCCAAAAAGGTACTACATAGGAGCCTTTGCGTAAGCCCTAAAACCCCCAAAAACCGTAAACCCCCAAGACCCTAAAACCCGCAAACCTTAAACCCTAAAGCCCTGAAACCCTAAAACCCAAAGCCCTAAAACCCCAAAACCCCAAAACCCTAAAACAACCGAAAACCCGAAAACCCTAAACCCGAAGCTCTTGTGGCTTAGGGCGAGCTGACTTCGGGGAGGCTTCCTGACTAGGGGTCCTGAGGGTAGATTTAGGGTTTAGGGTTTAGGGTTTAGGGTTCAGGGCTTCGGGTTGAAAAAAGCGGGGTTTCGGGTTTAGGATGTAGGGTTTTGGGTTTAGGGTACTTGGAGGTTCAGGGTACTGTTTGCCCCTTATAACTGTACGTATAACCCCCCCTATGTCCTCTAAGGAGGTTATAAGTAGACGTACAATAGGGGTTAGAAGTACGCATGCACCTCCAAGTAATGAAGCCGCACCTGGCCGTAACGACTGTAATTCAAGATCCAGGCACTCTAGGCAAGGTTCCGTTTTTTTTTTTTAAAGGGTTTGGGCTCAATTTCACCCTAAGCCCTAAACCCTAAACCCTAAACCCTAAACCCTAAGCCTTCAAGCCCTAAACTCTAAAGCCGTCAGCATGAAGGCCCAGATTCTTGAAGCCACACTAGCAGCGTGCTCCCACGTTCTTCCCGAACCCAACTCTAAAATCCTTTTCCTACTATTTGCTCAAGAACCATAAGAAAATTGATATATACATATATATATATATACAGATAGATATACTCTTTGTTTGGGCCGGGGGGGGGGGGGGTTCTTAGGCCATTCGTAGTTTCCCGGCAGGAAGTCACCGCAGAGGTTGAGGCTCTGTTTGCTGGCGTGAGCGGGCTTGGGCTGTAAGTCCCACACCATCCCGAACCGTAGAAGCTTGGTAAACCCAGTGGTATTCTTTGCCTTAATTATTATTATCTTATTATGATTTTAGTATGTCATTATTGTTTTTTTTTTGGGGGGGGGTTCCCTTATGAAGTAACCAAGCCACAAGCCAGGACCCAGAGTAGGCCCTTGTTCGTTTTTCCCTTTGGGGTTCAAGGTTCCCTTCTCAGCCCCTTTGAACCAAAAAGGGGCACCCGTTTCATTCCTAGGTTACTCTTGGGTCTAGACAAGGGGTGCATTGGGATGCTCCCCCTTATACTAACAGTCCTTACTTGGGATTATAGTACCCCTATTAAGGGTTTAGGGTTTAGGGTTTAGGGTTTAGGGTTTGGGGTTTGGGGTTTGGTTCTTAGGGTTCGCTCAGTCCGATTCGGAGCTGCGTATCAGAGAGTCAGTGAGTGAGTGAGTGAGTGAGTGAATGCGTGAGTGAGTGTAAGCCGGGACATCCCAGAGCACATGGTTAGTGCGGTACTAAGGAAGTCCCAGACCTCAGACCCTACAAACCCTAGAGATGATGCAGAGATCATGAAGTGGTAGGAACAACATACGGTTTCGGGTTTTGGGGGTTGACGGTGTAGGGTGTAGGTTTTGAGGGCATGGGCATTTTGCAAGTTAAGGGGTGCCCCCGTATTTATGCCCCAAAACAGAGGACGTTTAGTCCTTCTTCTGGGATCCCCTCAAAATAGGGTCCCCTACCTCAGATCTGCAGCGCCCTTGTGGGTTTGGACTCTGTTTGGTGAAGCCGCTACACCAGGCTGTTGGACCAGAAGCTGAGAAGGTTTAGGGTTTAGGGATGAGGCTTGCACACAGGGTTTCTAGGGTTGTAGGCCTTCAAGCCTTACCCCCCCCTCTACTATTTCCTCGCATACTAAAGATATCTATAGTGTTGTGGGCGTGCCTTAATCATGTGGGGAGGCGATGGTACATCTATAGGCTAAAACAAACCTTTCATTGTTGCCTGGTCATGCTTTAGGCTTTGGGAAGTTGCAAGGGCCATTTCAAAGCTTCTGTGTCACCTAGTTGGGCACCACCAAGCCCGAACCCAGCATGAACAACTCCTCAGACGTCATCAAACCTTCTGAACCGTCCCCAGAGAGCCCAGTACCTCTTAATTTTCATTAAGGCAATGAGATCTTAAATCATGTATAGGGATCCGTAATCTGATTTACCCTAAACCAAAAACCCTACTTGGAGGTTCATGGTACTTATAACCCACTCATAACTGTACTTAAACCCACACAGAAGCTCCTTAGGTGCCCTAACATGGTTATCAATTGGCTTATCAGTGCAGGTATAATTGGATTACTAAGTGCCATCAACCTCCAAGTAAGCTGCCAGGCCATGTCGCAGCGAGCAGGGCCACCGCCGCCCAGCGGTAGGGCCCTGCGTGGTGCCGGAGGGCGACGATGAGTGCCGCGGCAGTGTTACAGAGCAGTGTGTGTTTGTTGTTTTGTGTGCGGTTTGTGTGTGTATACACATATACTATGTTTACGATTTTTGTGTATATGGGTGTGTATATATATATATACAGTTGTAACAATGTGTGTTTATGTATACACACTCTGCGCACATATTCACTAAGTCACTATGCCTCGCTGCTCTCAACTTACCTCTAAGCCCATTGGCACGCTGTCTCTAGGGCGAACCAAGAAGTACTACAACTAACCGTGTTAAAATAAGCAAAGTGTGCGCAACGGCTGGTGAACTCCAGTGTCGTTGCCGGAGGCTGCCACGACCAAGCCGTGGCGCTCTCGTGCTTATCAGGGGCGTGCAAGCGCTCGTGCCCTCCTCTGCAGATCAAATCTGGAGAGCGCCAGTTGCTTCTGGCAAGTGGGGAGTGGAAATTGGTTTGACTTACCGCAAAGCAACCCCAAAGCCACCAGCACGGATCATTTCCCACTTGCCAGCGGCTACACTAAGGGCATGGGCTGGGTTGGGATGTCACAAGAGCTGCCAAATCATCCGGTAGGTATCCAGGCAGTAAGAAGCCAATGATGTGAAGTCATCCAATAGACCTTTTCCCGAGGGGTATTTGCAACCTTGGTTTTAGGGCCAGGGGGACATGCACACGTGCTCTTGCCTGCAACTGGGAAGGGGTCCAGGCGGGACGTGGGCTCTCGCAACCGTGCTTGCCACCCACTTCCGCTCGCTGGGCGGACCGGCCGCGGCCTTTGCGCGCCTTCTGCGCGCCCGCTAGGAGGGCCACCCTGGCAGCGCGCTGCATGCGCAGCGCAGCCGAGGGGCTGGGGCCCGCCTTGTTTATCCAAGCATGCTCGGAATACAACACAGAGTCCAGTGTTGTCTCTTGCGAGCATGTTTGGGTAAGAAGCAATGAGGGAAGAGTTGGGCTCAGCAGAGAGACCTCCGATCTCTGCGCCCTCCCAGGTTCTGGGGCACCATCTGCGGCCGGCTCATAAGCCGGGATGAACTGAGACCACACTGTGTGCCTCAGAGCTGTCAGGGCTCTGTGGTGGGAGGGCTTCTAAGCAGCCCTGCTTATGGACCGCGAGGGCAGGTCGGCGCGGCCCGCTGCCAGCTGATCCATGCGATCAGAAGCTGGCAAACTGCCTGCCCCAAACGCCTCAATGCCCAGTCATATTCTTGCTCCCAAATCACGAAACCTGAGCCCCTATAGATTCTATAGATTTACTTACCCAGAGAGCCCAATTCCCCTTAATTAAGGAATATACCTCAAATGATAAAGGGAATCCTTAGTATGATTTAAGCAACATTCCTTAATTTAAGGGGTATTGGGCTCTTAGGGTCGGTTACCTCCCAGCATCCTGCCCCCTCCCTTGGCCGACCTGGCATCCCTCAAACTCTGAGAACCCCAAATCAACGTCTACCCCTTCGACCCAAAGTCACAGTTTAGCAGCCCTTGAGCACTGGGTCAGTTCCCTACCTTATGGGCCCTGTTTTGGTAACCCAGACTCTAACCCAAAGGCTCCAATGTAGTTCCTTTTTGGGTTAGATATAGGGGATTCTAGTATACTACCCCCGAGAGGTACTACGTAGGAGCCTTTGGGTAAGCCCGAAACAGGACCATAGTTTTCAAAACTGACCGCATCCCCATATCCCACTGCGGTGACCGCTTCGTGCTCCCCAAGGCAGGGGGGGACCACCCAATCGAGGGGGTCACAAGTAAGCCATTCCCACTTGAGGATTCAGGGTTTAGGCTTTCGGGGGGTCTACAGGGTCTAGAGGGCTCACCTAACTGCCCAGAGAGCCCAATAGCCCTTAGGTACGGAAGAGCCCTCAAATCACATGGGGATCCTCAATATGAACTTAAGGTACATTGTCGCACTTAAGACCCTAAACCCTAAACCCTAAACCCTAAACCCCCTAAACCCCCTAAACCCCCTAAACCCCCTAAACCCCCTAAACCCTAAACCCTCTTTGGGTCCGTAAGGGGCCTGGTTAGTGCGCCGCCTGCGCCTCCCCCCGGTTCTCAGAGAGCCGAGCCCCCGCCGCGAGATTGGGGCCACGGCTCCATCGGGGCGGCGTGCTCGGCGCAACTGGGGTTTATAGTCTATAAGGGTTTAGGGTTTAGCGTTTAGGGTTTCGGGTAGAGTCGAGAAAGGTTTATAAGGTTATAGGATTTTGCAAGATTTATAAGATTTACAAGGTGCGTCTTGAGTCTTGAGGTTAAAAAGGTTTACAAGATTTATGATAAGGTGTATAAATAAGGTTTATAAGGTTCATCAGGTTTAAGGGTTGGATTGGTTCTATAGGGTTTACAGGTCTTTTGACAGAACTGAGGGTCTTAAAGAAGCTTGCTTCTGGGAGCAAGTGCGGGTTAGGGTGATAGGGCTCGAGAAGTCTGGAGCACTCAGACCCATTTTAAGAGGCCCCCCCCCCCCCTCGCCACACCCCACCCCTGTCCCCCCCAAAAAAAGAAACAAAGGAAACGAGCGAGTGAGTGACAGGGCCTCTTGGCTGAGTAGTTTAGAAGAGAGCTCCCCTCCCCGGCCACCCCCCCGCCCCAAAACCCTCGCGGCCTTAGCCAAGGTTCGCCCCAGTGGGGCCAACGAAGTGGAGCGCCGGTGAGTGCTCCGAATTCCTCTGCTCAGGGCCATGTCCCGAATGCGGGATGGCCGCAATCACGTGTCAGGTGGTTTAGGGTTTAGGGTTTACAGGGAGGTGGGTTTAAGCAGACGGGATTTGAGGAAGGTGTGGGTTTCCGTTTGGCGGCCAGGTGCCAGCAGATTCCAGCGCTGGCCAAGCGAGTTCACTCCAGCTAAGGCGAATCAGGCAACTCCGTACATGATGATGCCCGGATCGTCATCAGTCGCGCTGGGTTTGGCAAGTGTGGGCACCGTTTCCTACGAATGTTTCTGGTTCGTGCAAGTTCGTTTCCACCATTCTCAACACTAAGCCCCCGAAGCCTTTTCTGCTCATCTCTGCACAGGGTAGCAAAGCCGAACAGGCAAAAGCCCCTTTTTTGGAGTTATGGGGTTCAGGGTCGATCGTGTTGCTTGTGTAAAGACATATACAACCCAAGGGCATATACCAGAAGGTTACAATTTTTGAGACTTGTCCCCACAATCACCATAAATCATCCTAAACCGTAAACCCTGAACCCTAAACCCTGTTTGATCCTCTTGTCCACCCATTTAAAGGATCGTTTTGAACAACTCCCAGTACGGGGTTCTAGGTCTACGTAAAGGTGCCCTCAACAAAAAGAAATATATTCTGACAGAGGACCCGAAGGATTTTGGGTTGAGGGGTCTAAACCGCCATGTCTGTCTGTTTTTGCTTCACGGTGTGTGGGAGACGCGGCCACAAGTCTCCGCCAGTTGCTATAGCAAGCGCGGCAGAGCGAAGAGCCTGGCTCAGTACGCGACTGGTTCATGCTTACCGGTCTAATTAGGACGTAGGGTTTAGGATTGAAGTACCCGAAGACCCTGAAAGTATTTCCTTTTTACTTTTGGGGGGCAAGTTATAGGCGATGCTAGTATACAACCCAAAACGGTACTACGTAGGAGCTTCTAGGTAGGATTTCACCTTAGGCTGTAGAGGGTTACATCGTAAGAGGACCATCGGCTTGTCGGGTTCTTTTGGGAGGGGGGTTCAAGGGGGGCATGTCAGCCAAGGTTCACCAATACTCCCCAGTGCTTCCCTAGGTACCTACCCCAAAGATTCTCCAGGTTTAGGGCTTAGGGTTTAGGGTTCCAATGAAGCCCCCCTCCCCTTAAAGGAACCTATAATTGGCACATACGTCTCCGGAGTTGCCAATTCGTGTTTTGCAAGGACAGTCGTCGGCGAAATTTCTCGCAACGAGGCAGCGGCTTCCTTTTCTCGCAGTTTCTGCCCCCATTCGCTGGGCAACTGCCGGATTGCGGGGAAAATTAGGGTTCAGGGTTTAGGGTTCAGGGTTCAGGGTTTAGGGTTTGGGTTTAGGGTACGACATGGTACGACAAAGCCATCTGTTTCATAAAGCAAGTACTTATTGGGTATAGCCTCGACCCTCGACCTTTTCAGTAGCCTGTGTGTACATCTAAGCCCCCCCACGCATGTGCTTTAGGATGTTTAGGGCTTCGAGGTTCACAATCCGTAGTGCCAGTATGTACCCCCGAAGCCCTAAGCTCTAAACCCCTAGAGTAGGGTTTAGGGTTTAGGGTTGAGGGTTGAGGGTTTAGGGTTGAGGGTTTAGGGTTATGGTTAGGGTATTCTCAATCAGGCTCCAGTCTGCAAAAAAAGGGGCGCCAAGGGGCTATGTGAGTGGGCGACTATGAGGTACCCTACTGGGAACTCTCCTTTTTGTGACTGGGCTTAACACCCCTAAACCCAAGAACCCCATAAATCCCATCTCATCCCATATACCCCATAAGCCCGATAAGCCCCCTAAACCCTAAACCCTAAACCCTACACCCTAAAGCTCATGAACCCTACAGCACTGCCACGCCCGAAGATCATCCCGCAAGTCCAGCACGTGCGTGCAGCCGGCAATCCGTGGTGAAAGGTTTAGGGTTTAGGGTTTAGGGTTTAGGGTTTAGGGTTTAGGGTTTTAGGGTTTAGGGTTTTAGGGTTTTAGGGTTTTAGGGTTTTAGGGTTTAGGGTTTAGGTTTCCTGGCTCTCGCTTCATGTGACATACAAGCCCTAAGCCCTATAAACCTTTATCTGGGGAGGTTGTTGTTGTTTTAGTCCTTGCAACACTGGGTCTTTGACTGGGCTAGGGGTCCGGGTGTAGGGGTTCAGGGGTTTAGGTTGGGATGTTCCACCATCAAGTGCTTTTATAGGGAATATAATCGGGTGCAGTACTGTGATCCCTATGGACTGTTAGTGAAAGGGGGCAGATCACAAGGTGGGGTTTAGGGTGATTTTCATGAGGGATTGCAGGGGCAAAGCCTGAACCTGAGGGGGCAGTCATCGGCCAGCTTAAGGCAATACCTGAAAGTTCATTCATGGCT